AGAAAGCCTTATAAATCTGTGAGCATGTCCAACATTTATAGATGACAGTGCCCAGTCACATAACCACCTGTCAAAACTTGTCTTCCTATTTCTTTTGATCTTCCCCTCTTATCTCCTTCTACTGCAGCATTGCGTGCATTATTATGTGTCCTATTTCTCGACAACATTCTTTACTTTGAGGCTTTTTTAGTAACAGAAGGTGACCTAAATTGTATAATCTGTGATTGATAGCATACAGGCAGAGGAGAAGGAAAGGAAGGAAGAGCACCAATTTATTTTCCATTTTAAATAAAGATGGAAAAGTGAGGTAAGTGCCAAGGGTATTCATCTGATCTGAATGGAACTTCAATAAAACAAATTCCTTCGGCAGCTATTTCAGCTCTTCACTGGGAGGCATTCCCCAAACAACCTTTTGTCTTCTGTCCTGACAGCCCACAACTGTTATTCTAGCCCTTCTCTGTGACTCCCATTTAAATCAATATATAATATTACCAAGGACGAAATTTGGTAAGCCTGACCACATGAAGCAGATGCTTCTTCATGGTTTATGACAGATTCAGCTACTTGGTTCCTGTGTCTTTTAGAGCACGTTCTATACAAGGGTATTTAATTACAACTATTGCTGTACATTGATATCTGGATTAGAATGACCATCGTTGCAGCTTCCAAGCATGACAAAAAGAATTTGCCCTGATGTTCCTGCAGATGCTGTATATTTATAAATTACAACCAATTTACAAAAACAAGAAGTAAACATTTTTGTGTGATGGATCATGATAAACAAAAACAATAATCTCAGAAATCCACATGAATAAATGATTCTTTACACACTGAAAACCTGTTTTTATTGAGATGATGCCTTTAGTGGACCTAAACATCAAAGCTTTTACACGACTGCCATCTAGTGGCAGATGGTGGCATGTCATTTCCTACAAAGCCGAGCGTGGAAAATATTGTAATTGTCAAACTAACACAAAAATGACAAAAACAATGCAAAATGTTATAAAAGTGACAGAATACTTCATTTTATGAGCAGACATTAAAGGTTTATCCTTTGTTTAAGAATCTTGAAGGCTGATGACAGTGCGGATGCTAAGAAAATAAAAAGAAGAAGAAGAATTAATATCGAAGTTTCAATTCCCAACAGAACCAAAACATCCATCCTACAATAGAATTGTAATGTTTATACAATTAATCAATCCAGTGGACATTACTACAAACATTATCCATTTTTTTAAGCCACAAGTCACTGTTCTAGCTTAATTAATGTGAATATTTGGATGTTTTAAGGTCTCAAGGTAATCAAATACTTAATCAATAGAAATATTAAGGACACACTATACCAAATAGTATTTAAATTTTAGTGTCCTGGGAAATAAGTTTCTGAAATTATTTCTAAAGATCAATCAAATTGAATCTAGTGATTTGTTTAATCAAACAGAACATGTTAGACAGACGTTAAAGATTTGAAAATACTTTTCTTACATACACAATTTTGTCCCTATATAGCAATTCAGCCCCAATATTTATGGCTAAGTAGACTTTTTTGTTGTTGTTTATGTACACATATGAAAGGTCTCACCTTTTACCACTTTTTAAAAGGCCAAAGGCCTTGTTGATTTGAACCAGCGGGAGCTTCTCCGTAATAAACTCATCCAGTTTCAACTTGCGATTCATGTAGTCATCCACCAGTTTAGGCACATCCTTCACACTCTTCCACCCTTTAGAAAAAGTTAACAAGCTCAACTTGTAAACATGTTTTCATGTAATATGAATTGCATTGTTGTAAGACCGTAGGATATACCTAACTGTCTGTCCTCACTGAACTTCTTCTTATATACGTTTTGAACTCAGGAACCAAAAACTGATGGGTATTTTGACAGAAATTTAGACGATTCATCGATTTATGAATTTATTAACTGAGCACAACTCAAGACTTTTTACAGATTCTATTTTTTGGGTTATTCTTTGGGTTATTAAATTGTACTTCAATAATATTTAGGTTCAGGAATGTTGATCATGTTGATTTTAATGCTTTACCTAAAAAAAATTACAAAATAAAATTCTAATGCCAAAGCATTTGTAATATAATTTTTAACACATTTTAAATATTAATAATCCAATAGTAAGGTTTTTTATCCCAATTTAACATTACATTTTGCACTGAAGGGCAACATTAGGGACAGTTTTTCAGGATGATACTCAATTTTATGTTCATCACTCAATTCCACAATTAAACCAGTTACCATAAACCTGTTGATGCGTTATGAAATGCTAATCTAATATGTATGGTAATTTTTTTACTTCACCTCCAAAATAAGTGCCCTTTAAGGTACGTCCCATGAGAAGCTTTTCAACTGAAATGCTCATTACTTCTGTCTCTGTCCATCCAGCAATGACGCAAGTACCCCAGGCATCTCTTGTGGACTCAAATGCAGCATTCTAGGGTGACAGAAGCAGTTGCTTAGCTAATTATCATTTTGTATTTGTATCATTATATGACTGTTTCACTTGTGTCACTTTTTGCAAAAGAGATCAAATCTAGGTTAACAAGGAAGACATTGTACAGTGTCTTCCAATTATAGTCACAAGACTTAATTTTCCTTGACACAATCGCATGCCAAATTTCAAATGAGGCACCCACCATGATAGCTGGACTTCCAACACACTCCAGCCCATAGTCCACACCTCCACCCGTCTTCTCCACCACAACCTCTTGGATAGGCTTGCTGTAATCTCTTGGGTTTATACAGTCTGTCGCTCCAAACTGTCGGGCTTTCTCAAACTTGTTAGGGTTGATGTCAACCCCGATGATCCTTCTCGCCATGGCAACCTTGCAACCCATGACGGCAGCCAGCCCGACGGCTCCGAGCCCAAAAACGGCACACGAGGAATCTTTTTCAACCTGAATGCACAAAAGTTGGAAGCCAGTCAGCTAACAATTCTTAAAGATCATTTCAGCATTTTCACAGATATTTTTTACAGTAAATATAACATTTAGAGTACATTCCTTTAAACGCATACATGAGATATTATCAGGTCTGTGAATCTTGATTAAAATTATGTCTAAATAAATAACGCATGCAAGGATTTCCACTCATTTTTAGTTGGTTTCTTTTTAGTAAATGAGTACAAAAGTGTCCTGATTTTGTCATTTTATTTATGTTAATGTGTGTGGACCTACTTTTGGCTGCTCCCTTATTCACAAAGGGTCACCTCAGTGACTTTGGCAATTTTTAAAGCAGATTTCTTTCCACATGCAACCAAAACAGGAACATGTATTTCACATGTTATACAAATGTGTAAACCATTGCACTATGGGACTACTTTGCATTATTTGAATTTGTGTAAAGTAACAAATTAAAGTAGTTGACATATACATCTTATCCTGAAAACTTAGAGGCACTCGTGTCATTTCTGCCATCTAGTGTTGATATTAAATGACTACAGTCTTGCAGCATATTGTAAGACAGAAAACTTCCAAATACAAAAATCACTAATTTGTCTTTTTTTTTTGGTTAAAATATGCTTGGCTGTTTATATATTGTCGTGTTTATCAATATATCTTTTCAAAATTGTTGCTTCATCACATCTGTTCTAAGAGTATTAGTTTGAACCTTCAGAGTTCAGTTTTCTAACCTTGCCTGCATTAATAGCAGCTCCATAACCAGTGGAAACACCACATCCAAGCAGACAGACTTTGTCTAGCGGTGCATCGCTTCTTATCTTTGCAACCGAGGTGTCGGGGACCACAGTGTATTGAGAGAAAGAACTGACTCCAAGGAACTGGTAAACCTGCTGTCCCTTGCAAGATATCCTGCTAGTCCCATCAGCCAAAACTCCAGCTTGCATATTTGTCCTAAAAACCACAAAGAACAGTATTTACGTGAACACATTTTAAGTAATAGAGTAAACGTGGTTGTCTCAAAAATGGGGGAATAAAATCACCAGTTTTTCTTGCAATGATTTGTTTTTGGACTTAGACAGCGTTCACATTCCCCACAGTATGGCAGAAAAAGAGGAATAACTTTGTCCCCTGCAAAAACAACAAAACAATTGTGTAAGTCTGAGAAGAAAAAAAAGAGAAATAAGACAAATGTCATCTGACTGGCTGTGGCACACTTTACCCGGGGAGAATCTGGTGACTTCCGGGCCAGTGCTCTCCACTATGCCAGCTGCCTCGTGACCAAGTACTAAAGGGAATGGTCTGAATTTCATCCCTTTTCCAGTCTCAAACAGGTATTCCCAGTCTGTGTGGCACACACCTGTGGCAACAACCTGTACAAACCAAATGATGTGACAGTTTCAGGAAGTGGAAGTGTCTGTGGTTAACAGTCACACTAACAGGAAATAAGATTAATCATATGCAAATCATATCTATTGTCATATTGCTGGCAAATTTGAGCTGTGCCCAACCTTAATTCGGACTTCATGAGCTTTAGGTGGTGCCACCTCCACTTCTTCAATACAAAGAGGCTTCCCGGGCTCCCACGCAACAGCTGCCTTGCATGTGATCACCTAAAGGGGAAAAAAACCCAAAACAAAACAAACAGGTTTCAAGGATGAGTGACTGTGTTTGGGCGTTGTTACAGATGGAAACAAACAATGAACACTCTCCATGACAGAAAACTTTCGAATGAAAAGCAGAACCCCCAAAAGCAACAGTAGCTGTTTATAAGACAAACAGTAAAAAAGGGGAAAAAAAAGCTTAAAAACAACTTTTTTCTTACCTTTCCAACTGTTGCCATTGTTGACAGATGGTGTCTTCATATAAAACAGCCTGTATTTAAACAAAAGAATTTAAATAGAGGAATAATTAAATCTGCACTTATCACCAAAACAGCTGCGAGTTACATTATATCAACATTTGAGTGGGTAAGGTTGAACTGACCGAGTCAAACAGCAGACAGGTCGCACCCTCTTCTAATTCTAGTTTTTCTTCAATGGTTGTTTTCTACAGTCGATGGTTTAGCTCTGTCAACGCATTTACGACACTTTCCGAGACCGCCCGGTGCCTTTACGGCACGTTACGGTCACACGTGTTGTAGTCGCATGGAATTTCGGCACAGCGGTCTGGAGTGTAGCCGCTTGGTCAAATTTGTGAGTAATTTTCTTTGTTTGTGCAAAAACTGTGTTGCGCACTTTTTCGATGTGTATGTTTTTTAAACGACTACGTATCGTGTTGGTTTATGTTAGAAAACACCAACATTTCGTACAACACAAATTTTCGTACTTTGAATGACTGAGTTATGCTAACGTGAGCTAACGACTTCAGCTAGCATAAGAAAGAGCTTCCAAGTCGGCATAGTTTGCCTGAATCATGGGCAGGCTAATTCATTCATAAGTGTTTAGCTTCAAGCATGAACTCACGTGAGCTGTGTCGTCTTTGTGTTTTCATAATTTCTTATTTACAGAGCATTTGAGGAAAATGTCGTTCAGAGGAGGAGGACGAGGTGGTGGAAGAGGTGGAGGTTTCAACCGAGGTGGTGGAGGATTTGGACGAGGTGGAGGAGGATACGGTGGAGGCAGAGGTGGTGGAGGATTTGGACGGGGTGGTGGAAGAGGGGGTTTCAACAGACAGCAAGACTATGGACCTCCTGAATATGTTGTTGGTAAGCCCAGTTCTAACAAAACGCTAAACCGAGTGCTTCTTTATACACGTGTGAAGCTAAACTTTACCACAGCTTCGTGTGAGTTCTCAGCCATTGAGATGCAAGTAAACAGTCTTGATGTTGCCAAAACACTGACTCTGTAATATTACCCTCACACAGTTATGGAGAAATGGTGTGGAAGAGTAGGCTGTGAGAATTTTGTCATCATCAAAGATGGCGACTATCCAAGGATGTGGAAAACAAGACATGTCCTGTTGCCTGTCTTCTGTCTCTTCTTTTCTATGTTTGGTGAAAAGTCACCAGGAACTAGTCTGTGCAGTCACAAAAACAAACAACAAGAACAGGCAGGCATGCAGATGTCCACACACACCATCTTGCTTGAATCTATGTAAAGCCCAT